TTTATTTTATTTTCTCACCCAAGTTATCACGAGGCCCTTCCTCTCTTTGGTCTTCATTCAAGTCATCTAAAATCAAACAATAATTACTAGTTAGTACAAAAGTTGAAAATGACCATTCTAGAGTTAAATTAATTTTGAATTTACTATAATATATTTACCTATGATGTTGAATTGTTCTTCTTGCAGTGGGTCTTCGCCGCCTTCATTTTCATACAGGTCATTTATTGCCAACGCACGCATTTGTTCATCATACGATGCAACGCTGTAAGAACAGCGCAAGAGAAAAGTTTTTATGTTTATAGTTCCTTGACGCAGTTGGTGGCTTGCTGTTTTAATTTGTCTATCATTGGCTAAATATTTTGACCTAGGGCCCCGTGATATCATCAATCCATTATTTATTTGGTCAAGCTTGACTGAATATGTATCATTTATTTTGCATATATGAGCTAAAACAAAACAATTTAAAAAAAATACCTACTGACCAAATAATACTCATTATTCATTGTAGTTTACTTTACCTAAGAATGACCGAATATTTGGGTGGGAAACTTGAAATATTTGCCTTAGTTTACTGTGAAACCCTTCAATGTTCTTGTTTGTTCTAAATTTTTTTTTTGTAGACCGAAAGTAACTCAACGCCTACATTTCGTATCCAGTATCTGCTCAAAAATTAATTTGAATAATACAACAATATAATTTAAATTTAATTGTAAACGTACCTTTCATAATAGTTGAATAGTCGTCGCATGTTAATATTATGTCTAGCTGCATAACGCTTAATCACAACAAAGCCTTCTTCAATTTTCCCAGCTGGTAATAATGGAAGAACCATAATCATCTTCAAAGTTTTTGATGCGAATCCATTGGTATTTATAAGATTTAAATAACCTAATTTTCGCATTTTTCGCCACACAGCCTAAAATTTAAATTATTTTTAATTGTAATTTACATAGCATCAGGATAAGAGTATAAATATCACGAGTATCACTACATGTCTACATACTTGATTACTATGAAACCAGCATCCATGAGCTGTGGCTGATGGAAAATGCCTTATCAACATTTCCCTTAACGCAGTTTCAAAGTCTGTTAAAATTACACTTGGCCTAAACTCAGCGAGTAAATTAACTTTAACAAAGTGTAAAACGGCATCATAAGCCTGGGACGTCTTGCGTTCCATCAGGACATATACAATAGGAATACTCTAAAATATAAAAAGTGAACAATTATAATATTGATAACTTAAAAAAAATCTTAAAGAATTTAACTTAATAATGTTATAATACTAAAATCTTATTTGAAGGGTTTGGTGCAAAAATATTAAAAAATAAACCCGTCAGTAACTTATCTGCCGCAGCTGGATGCTGTGTCACATTATTTCTATTATTTTGTGTTAATTTTTTGGATTATTATAGATAATACAATTGTTATAATTTGTTTCAGTTTCATTTCAGAACTGTAAGGAAGTAACTTTATTTTTAATTGTGGCAAAATAACAATACATAAATGTCAAATATTAAATGAGTCTAAATAGTATAAATATTAAAAAAAAAAAAATGTTTAATCAAAATACTTTAGTATCGTTTTAGAACTAATAAAGTAACTTAAATTTTAATTGTATCAGACAATCGATACATCAATATTAAATTTGAATAATATTAAAATTTATATAATAATATATTGCATACAAAAAAAATGATAAATACATAGGACAATACAGTGAGGTTACATGAACATAAATTTGTCTAGCGGGTATTTAATGCTGTACATACATTTTAAACATTGTTTGAATACATATTACAATCAAGTATAATAGTGATACTAGAAATAAATAATATTCAAATAAGTTTTTTTATAACTTTTATCTCACTGACTTCAATTAATAAATGTTCACTGCTACGTATGTTGTAAATTAAATATAAATTTTTATACTCATTTGTTATTAATTCTCTAGAATTACTCAGTTTGGTATTGTCATACACTTATACTTAGTTATAAATTTATTTATTTATTTATAAACATATATTTAAAATATAACTTACATGATTATTTACCATCGCGTGCATTATTAATAGTTGGTAACACTTTGGTGTGGAAGGAACGATTCGAAATGTGGCGTCAACATGGATTTCTGTTATTTCCATATCTAGAGTTTTGCGTATTAAGGCTTTGGAAGCAAAAACTGTAGAATAATTACCTGACGTATCTTCAACACAACCTAGAGAACAAAATATTATTTAAATGGTAAAATGTACTACCTATTTTATCAAAGTTGGTTATGTTGCATTTATAATGTCTATTATGCCTGAAGTATAGATAAACTATTTATGTTAAACAATTAATAGGTACCTTTATATATTAATTCATCACAACTTTGATATCTTTCAAGGAGTCCTGATCCGAATTGTTCAGCTAGCTCACTTAGTGTTCCTGGGACTGTTGGTAACGATCGTCTCCTAGACCACCGCATGAAACTTTCGGCTGATTTCCAAGTATACATGGCAGCAGATTCAGGATTTCTAATGATAAAACCCATTTTTATTATTAATAATAATTAAAGAGTTTATTAAATTAAAATAAACTTTTCATTGACAATGACGAATTTCATAGACATGCAGTTGTGAGCGTTCACTTGTTTATATTAAAATCTGATGATCCCACAAAAACAATTTACTTGGCCTGGCAGTGTACAATTCAGTTTAAAAATTGAAAGTGTTTAGTTTAGCAATGAAAAGGTTAAAAATATATTGAACTTACTTTCTAGCTTCATCCTCGTAAATGGTATTCAACATAGTCACTTCATCAATACTGCGTTGTTTCAGAATTTTCTTAAATGTATTCATGGCTATAACACTTGGGTCAGGTCTATGAACATGGTCTTGTAGCAAATGAATATCATTGTCACCTATGATTTTCATTGAACCATGGCATAAGTATTTTGCTGCTTCTTTGCATTTGTAATAACTGTAATAGGTAGTAAATAAAACACGCCTATTAATAATTCTATAAACTATTATAGTCTACAAGAACACGTTCCCTCTCATGTTATGGTATAAGCATCAATCATCATTAATATTACTTATTAATTATTTTGTAATATAAAGAAATTACAAATTGTAGCTTGATGTAAGTATGTAACCATTGAAGCTTCGTGGAGGATAATATACCTACCTTGACAAAATACTTTATACTTACGTTACGTTGTTTTTTTTGGAACCATTTTTCACGTAAAAATAGAATTGATGCTCCATGGTTGAAGCTAAGACACAGTTTTATTACAGAAAACGCAATTTTTATAATACGCACAAGTGCACAGCTCTTAACAACGACGACGTCAGATATGTCAATGGACGGAAATCGTTGTAAAATAAACACATTAGACGGATCTTTCCGAAGTCGGGTTTTACCCGGCTTATCGGCTTTCCAGTTACCACTGCATGTTACGTACATAATATTATATTATAAATTGTAATTTTAGAACATCAATTATTAAAACTGGTGGTTAAAAATAAAAACTTATGTTGCAAATTGAAAAATACTACAACATGGCTGAAACATGGGGGGGGGGGCTCGTTTTGCCAGCCCCCCCATGAATTTTATGTTTTTCTAGGGGAAGGAATTGCGAATTTTCAAACCAGGCGTGCGAATTCGTGCGAATTATGTGCTAAATACCTGTATAGTTTGTTTATACTATTTGTACTATTTAATCAATATTTTGTTATTGAATGTAGATTTTTTATCAAGTTCGAATTTTGTTATTAAATAATATACATTTTTTATTATTTATTCAATCCAATATGGATATATGGATTTAAAAATAGAGATGTTATATAAAACATGATGAGCATTTTTGAACGAATAAATTATATTATAACTGTAATATTAAAGACTTCCGATCTAGAGAAAATCTATATTTTATAAAAAAAAAACAATATTAAATAAAAAACTTAATAGACAACCATATTTAATAAAAAACTAATCTAAGTAGGTACAATGGAAAAAAATCTTGTTCAATACTAAATGTTTTTTATTTATTTTAGATTGTTTATTAAAAATTAATTATTTTTTATTAACTATAGGTGATTTACTCAGGCTTTTTTTTATAGATTTTTTAATCACCTAGGCTTTTTTATTTAATAAAATTTTTTTCTATTCTACTTAGATTATTTTTATTGAATACAGTTTTTTATCATGGTTTTTTTGTTTAATATAGATTCTTTAATCAAATATAGATTTTTATTTAATATGAATTTTTGTTTTTCTAGTTGAAGGAAGGTCGTGCGAATTTTCAAACCAGGCGTGCGAATTCGTGCGAATTACTTGCTAAATATCTGTATAGTTTGTTAACAGTTTTTCCTTTGGGGGGGGGGGGGGCTGGCAAAACTACGTATAAGCAACTTAAAATTACAACCAGATAAATGCAACTTCTTAAAACGAGAATGTGTATATCTAGGACACGTTATTACGAAAGACGGAATAAAACCCGACGAAACGTAAATTAAAAGCAGTAGTAGAATTTCCAATACCAACAACTGTAAAAAACATTAAATCATTTTTAGGATTAAGTGGCTATTACAGAAAATTCATAAATTCATATAGTGCAATAGGCCCATAGGCGCAATTAGGTGGGGGCTAGGGGGAGCTTAGCCCCCCAAATATTTTTTTAGCCCCCCCCAAATAAAGCCATGACTTACGTACTTTTTATTCGTCATAGAAATTGGAAAATTTTTTTTTTAATTAAAAAAAACCTGAAATTATTATTATTTAAGTTATTATCCAGGTTGCACATTTCATAAAAAAAAATATACACGAGTTAAACGCATTGGTCACACTGGTTCTATATCGACAACCGTGGTTGTCACTTATTAGTTATCGGCTAACAGTATGAGTTGACACTTGACAGTACTACAGTGGTTGTAAGGTTATGTCACGCACGTCCACACGTACGACGTACCTTCTACTTAGTGTTTAAATTTTAATTGCAAATAACGATTATCGCAATGGCTACGACCAACTATTTTGATATTTTTAAACCTAAAAATGGAGAAAAAACAAACCTTAATGTGATGAAGCCGAAGGTAGGAACTACTGCGAGTGTGACTACAGTGACTACAGTGACTACAGTCACCGAAATTACTACAAACTCCAATTTGGATCTTGGTGATTTAACGTCTGGTCCTGTAAGACCTATTTTAGAGGTAAGATATGTGACATTAAAACTCGTAGTTCACTATTACTATAATAGTAATTAGTATTATCCTAAAATGCTTATTGCTTATAAATCTGTGATCTGGTTTTTTTAACTTGCACAATGACTTATATTTACTCTTTTCTTGCAATTTTGCTTACTGCTTTGTGATACTTAGGTTTACCCAAAAACTAAGCATGGTAATCAGAATCGCTCATTTTCTGCTGCTTATTTTAATGAATTTAAATGGCTCGAATATAGTGTTAAAAAAAATGCTGTTTTCTGTTTTGTATGCCGTAATTTTTCCCATGATTCTGGTTATACCGAAGAGACTTTTGTTCGAACTGGATTTTCAAATTGGAAAAAAGCAAGTTTACTAATTATTAGTTATTACTTAACTACTTAAGTAAATTATTAATCGAGAGCATTTATTTTTCCCATTTAATGCTACAAATTACAATGCAACATTATTATTTATTATGTACAATTTTAACATTTATTATGTAATTATGTTTAGTTATCTACAAAATTAAAAATGCACGCGTCAAGCAAAATACATTTGAATTGCCTAACACAAATGACGTCCTATGAGTCAACTATAAAAGAAGGTTCTAAAATGAGTAAAATATCTTCAGTTCATCAAAAACAAGTTGATAAAGATTGTACCTACTTATCATATTTGATTGATATTCTACTGTATTTAGCAAAACAAAGGCTGGCGTTTCGAGGTCACTCTGAAACTAGTGAATCTCAAAATCAAGGTAATTAAAAGTTAACAGTAAAATATAGTTTATAAAATGGCTAATTTATTTAAAATTAAAGTACAATTTACTTATTAACTTTTTCAGGTAATTTTAAAGAGTTATGTGTTTTATTTTAAAAACACTCACAAGAATTTTCTGAAATATATAATCAAAAGATTAATCTTACAAGTTGGAAAATTCAAGAAGAAATTATATCAATATGTGCTGACCAAGTAAAAAACCATATTATCACAGAGATAGATAACATAGGATTTTTTGCTTTGATGTGTGACGAAGCCCGGTATGTTTAAATTATACATTATATAATAATTAATAGGTATATATTAACTATTCATTTTAAAGGAAGTGATAGAAAACATTATTTTAACTTTAATTTTTGAAGGTGTTATAAAGAGGAACAACTTTCAATTTGTGTTAGATACACTATGAAATTACAAGCGTATGAAAGATTTAGTGGGGTGCGGGGGCGAAGCACCTGCGGGTTAGTGTGACTTAAACAATTCTAGCCCCCCCCCCCCAAAAAAAAAAAAATTGACCCTAGTTGCGCCTATGGCAATAGCAAAGCCATTAACCAATCATTTAAAGAAAGACACGAGTTTCATATGGACGCAAATATATGTATATAACTGTGCCAGTGTTACGTACAGCCCTTCAGGGATCCAAAAGCTGATATACTTTTATAATAAACAATAGTCAAATTAAAATAGTAATCAAATGTATTTTATTAAAACCAAATAAAATAAGCAGAACAGTCGTGATAATTGTGTAGTTGAGTGAATTGCAGCTCGTTCTAGAAAGATAATCTCCGTATAATTGTGTGTGATGGCTGGCGGCTAAGCGAGTCGTACGTTGTTCACGTCTCTGTATACAATCTGCTCAGGCTGTCTCGCTGTCCCCTATATATATGGTGGCGGTGTCCTTTGAAAGTGAGCGGCGTGTGTACAGTCGCCCTTGATATGATATGGACCTCACGAATAAGAGTGGTATTCTAGTCGTTAACACTTTGGGTGTGGTCATTGCTTGCCTTTCACATTCTTGGTTGTTTTTATGAGCAAGTACATACAATTACGTAATCCCATTACAAGGGAGAGTCTCTCCCAGAGATACCCATCTATGAGAGTAAAAATTTAACAAAATGTACAGCTAGCTGTAGGTATCATTGCATTTTTTGGCTAATATTTTCATAAATTTCAAATTCCGCAATATTTGACTATTCAATGCCCTTTAAAATGACAAACCCGTCTAACAATAATGGTTAATAATAATTATTGACATATATTTGTAATTTAATTATTTCTTTATCCTACTTAATCAAGGATATTAGTGGTGCCTGGCCACAGTGTAGGGCAGTGATTCCCAACGTGGGCAGTACCACCCCCTTGTGGGATTTTTAATTTTGAGGGGGGCATTTAATTTAAGAACTTAGTATATGCAAATACGGGGGGGGGGGGTTGTCTGTGTGAGATTTTTGAAAAAGAAAAAGGGGCATTGTGTAAAAATAGATTGGAAATTACTGGTGTACGGCAAGGTCCAGGTCTTAATACCTAAAACGACCCCACTGAGACCATGACAATGTGCAACTTTTTATCCTCGAAAAAAACTCACAGCCGGCCACGGTCTCGTTAAACTATAGGCTGTAAACGATGCTGAGCCGCCGACGATGGTTTATAAGTTATAATGTGTAATTAATTATTGTTAAAATATTAAGAACCGGAACCAAAACCTTTATTTTAATAAATAAAGTACCTGACCGAGCCAGAATTCATAAGTTAAAAATTTTCATTAAGGATTAATACATAAAATATTATTTTTTTAATATTATACATAAAATAATTTTATTTATCATAATTTAATGGTATTACTGTTTTGTGTATAAACTATGTAGGATCATTTGAGTTTTCTAATATTTCTCATACTATTAATTAAACCCGCCTTTCGGATAGGTAATTAAAACTACTATACTTTACGGTACCTAAATTATCTGGAACCTAAACCTTTATTTTGCTATCAGAACCGATACCGATAAATTCAAAAAGTTCCAGTTCCAAGCCTTAAATAACTTTAAAAAAAAAAAAAAATGTATTATTACTATTACATACCTCTCTACCTAAATATTGTCGTATAATAAACGTCACGTCATTCCGAAGTATCTAAGAATTTTAAAGTTGAATGATAATGAAACAAGCATATTAAAAAGCAGGTAAGTGGATGTCGCTCTGCTGTACAGTAGTTTACAAGTGGGTCAATGTATAATGGATTGTATTAAGCTTTAATTCGATGATATAATATCATTGTACAAGAAAAACGATTCTGAGTGGAGAAGGTTTGTCAGTCTGGATATTTTATATTGTTATTAATTATTAAATCATGTAAGTTGAATTAATATTGTGATATTATAATTTTTTATTCGTATCTATGGTGATAAACAAAGCTTTGAAAATTAAAATCCCATTTTTAGAGGTTTTTCATAATTTTTCGGTGGTTTTTCCCCGTGGCATTAAATAAGTATTGATAAAATAGAAAAATTACCTCTCTAAAGTAATATCTTGATCCAATTTTCTAGAATATAAGGTACTATAATATGTTGAAATCGAAGCACTCCTTCTGGTAGAAATTTTGTATAAAGGATATAAAGAGAACAAATAAATAAACACCATTGTAAAACCACTAGCTTAATCGCCAGCTCAGAGTCTAATATTAACTTGGCAGATGGCGTTGAGTACTTTAATCTACAATAATATTACATTTATTGGCAGCCCCACTATAGTGAACAATTTGGTGACAGCAATGACGTCGAAGCTTGAACGACCAACGACATAGACACATTATTCTAAGAATTAGTTGAGGTGTTGAATTCAATGTGAGTAGAACACGTTTCAGTAGGTTATACTCCAGTATAATAACACAGTGTTATAACACAGTACCTAATTTTACTGCGATTTGGATACTTTTTGAATATTCATCGTACGAATTATAAGTATTATAATTCCATTAGTACGACATCAGTTCATTGTCGCCAATCGACAAGCAGAAGCGATACCTACCTATCCAATATGCATATATTATAGCATATATTATTTTAATTTATTCGAATTTAATCAAATCTATGATGTAATATATAGGTAGGTACTTATATTGTAAATTAACTAGGTACATAGGTAAAGCATCCATTTAGAAAGGACCGTATAGCCATTAGATCCCACGTCAGCGGGACACTTTAAGATTCTGAGCGGAATGATGCATGAGCATATTGCATAATATGTAGGTACCTACCTATAAGTTTTGTTCATGTCTTTCGTTATTTTTAGGAACTCATGTCCTTTTAAAATTATTTTATTTCATTTTATGGTCACTAATCACCAAAAATAAGAGATTACAATTTTAAAAAAGGTCGCTTTTTTGTCACATGTATTATTTTCCATCGATTATATGTATTGCGATAAACTAAAGTATGTATTTGTTATGTAAACACAGCGCTATCGCCTATCACATACCAATGCCTTCAAGGGCCCACGTTTAGAGAAGAGAAAGAAAAACTGTGGCAGAACAAACATAAATGCCAAATAATAATAATTGTGTACTAGGCCGTCAGAATTGGCCTCAACTTTCGGCTTCCAGTAACAATAGAGGATGTACGAATAATCAGACGAGGAATGAGGACAGCGATAGAAGTAACAACAATAACAACAACGACTTACAACAAAGTAGACGACGGAGGCGACGTATTGCGATAAACTATAGTATGTATTTGTTATGTAAACACAGCGCTATCGTCTATCACATACCAATACCTTCAAGGGCCCACGTTTAGAAAAGAGAAAGAAAAACTGCGGCAGAACAAACATAAATGCCAAATAATAGTAATTGTGTACTAGGCCATCAGAGTTGGCCTCAACTTTCGGCTTCCAGTAACAATAGAGGAAGTACGAATAATCAGACGAGGAATGAGGATAGCGATAGAAGTAACAAGAATAACAACAACGACTTTCAACAAAGTAGACGACGGAGGCGAGGACGTTACGATCAAAGCTGTGAACAACGGTGCGCTGGATGTAGCACTACGGCAACAAAAAAAAAGAATTCTACAAAACGTTCTACGAAAGTCAAATATCAATTTATCGAATGCGACATTTCTAAAGAAAATCGTAAATTACTCAATGGTATAGAATGTTTTGGTACCGTAATCGAGGATTCGGAAAAACATAAAGTTGTACAAAAGTTTTCGTTTTGCGCGGCAAGGCGTATTACTTGTGATTTGGTCATTGGTGATTCTCAACCTAACCTAACCTTAGGAAAAGCATCCATTTAGAAAGGACCGTATAGCCATTAGATCCCACGTCAGCGGGACACTTTAAGATTCTGAGCGGAATGATGCATGAGCATATTGCATAATATGTAGGTACCTACCTATAAGTTTTGTTCATGTCTTTCATTATTTTTAGGAACTCATGTCCTTTTAAAATTATTTTATTTCATTTTATGGTCACTAATCACCAAAAATAAGAGATTACAATTTTAAAAAAGGTCGCTTTTTTGTCACATGTATTATTTTCCATCGATTATATGTATTGCGATAAACTATAGTATGTATTTGTTATGTAAACACAGCGCTATCGCCTATCACATACCAATGCCTTCAAGGGCCCACGTTTAGAGAAGAGAAAGAAAAACTGCGGCAGAACAAACATAAATGCCAAATAATAATAATTGTGTACTAGGCCGTCAGAATTGGCCTCAACTTTCGGCTTCCAGTAACAATAGAGGAAGTACGAATAATCAGACGAGGAATGAGGATAGCGATAGAAGTAACAAGAATAACAACAACGACTTTCAACAAAGTAGACGACGGGGGCGAGGACGTTACGATCAAAGCTGTGAACAACGGTGCCACTGGATGTAGCACTACGACGACAAAAAAAAGAATTCTACAAAACGTTCTACGAAAGTCAAATATCAATTTATCGAATGCGACATTTCTAAAGGAAATCGTAAATTACTCAATTTTATAGAATGTTTTGGTACCGTAATCGAGGATTCGGAAAAACTTAAAGTTGTACAAAAGTTTTCGTTTTGCGCGGCAAGGCGTATTACTTGTGATTTGGTCATTGGTGATTCT